GCTGGCCGGGCCAGGAGCATGCGTGGCGCCAGGAGAAAAAGTTTCCACGCTCGGAGGGTCGCCCCATCTTCATCCCCAGTGGATCGCAAATGGTTCAAAGCGAGGCCAAAGCCCCGCGGACCGACGAGCGCATAAACGGGGGCACGTCCTGCAGCGTCGGGACTGGGTGGCGCAACTCCTCTTGCAAGTCGACGGCGTCCAGCTGCTCCCACGGGGACTCCCGCGGCAGGCCGTGCGGCGCTGGTGGGGGCGCCGGCTCCGCCGTCTACGCTCCGAGCACTCGTTTCGGGCTGGGGCAACTCTGCGACCCCTTCCGGAGAACGCCGGCGCTGGTGTTGTCTGGCCCGCCTCCGTCCCCTGCTTCTCCGCTGTGGTCCTGGCAGTGGCGGACACTCGGGCGGCCGCTCTGTTTCCCACACCGCCCGCATGTCCGCGGCCAGGGCCTGGGTGCCCGCCGCGACCACGACCCCTCCGTACCCTTCCAACAGCGTCGCCTGCGCGGCTGCCGGCACGTACCCGTCAGCATCCGCGCAAAGGACCAGTGCAGCGGCCAGAGGGAGGGGCGCGTCCGGCAAGGAAAGGAGGGCCGAGGCGAGCGACGCGTCGCGGCGGCTGGACACCTGCGCACCTGCTTCCGCCGCGTCAAGGTCGGCTATGGCGTGGAGCAACCGCGCCAACGCGCGCGGATGGGCCGGCTGAGTGTGCTGGAGTGTCGCCACCAGCTCAGTCCAGCGAGGGCCCGCCTGCTCATGCCTCCTCCAGGCCTCCGAGGCATCTGCGGTCAGGAAACCTGCGGCCTCGTGGAGCAGCGGTACGTACAGCCAGGACTGCCGCTCCCCTGGTGGCGCTCGGCGAGGCGGTCCCGCGGCCTGCCACGCGGGGCTAGAAGGCATGCCGACAGTTGCCTGAACGTCATCGTGCTGCATTGGTGGGGCCGCCGGCAAAAAGTCAGGCGTAACGTCGCCAGCAGGGGTCGGGGCTGCGGCCCCATCAACGTCGGCCTCCGGGGCGGCGCGCGGGGAAGCCGCCGGAAACGCACGTGGTGATGCGAACGGCGTCGCGTCCGACAATGCGTCCTCACCCCCCGACGCTGCACCAGCGGGCACGAGGCACATCTGGGCCAGCGCATGCATCGCACGTTGCCTACGCGTCTCCACGTCAACGAGGTCTGGAGGGCCGGGATTATCGGCCTCGCCAATCCGCCGGCCTGTGAAAGGGGTCGGCGTCCACGGGCGGGGCTCACTCCAGGCTCGAGCATGCGTGGGGTCGGAACCGCCCGTGTGCCGGCCTGAGTTGGGGACGAGCTCTACGGCCCAAGCATCGGAAGCGCATGCGGGCGACCATTGCCGTGCTTTGTGTGGCGCGCCCCGCCCCCCCGTCCGGCATGTACTGCTGTCACGCCGACCGACACTGCCCGGCTGGTCGGACGTGGGCTGCAGAAGATGCCGCGGGGAGCGGGAGCGCGGCGGCCTGGCGTCGCGCACGAGCCCCCGGAGGTCCCGATGGCCAACGAGTAGACAAGCGCGGACCGTGCATTTTGCGCGCCGCCCTGCCCCCCCCCCATCCTCAACATGGTGGCCTGCTTGGCGGTCACCCCGAAGGACTTGGCCTGGAAGCTGATGGCGCGGAGGGGCGACGAACATCCCGCGAGGCAGAGGGGAGTGGCAGGCGGCGTGCGGAAGCCACAGGAGGCCGCGGGCCATGTGGGCCGGGCAGAGTTGGGAGCGATGGAGTATGGGGCATGGTCGCTTGGTGGAGGACGCGGCAGAGCAGTTCCGTAGGCGACTGCCCTGCCGCAGCGGCCAAAGCTTCTAGCTCCTGCTCGCCCCCAGCTGCCAGGCAGTGGAGCAGCTCGGACGCCGCTACCGACCACGCCGGCGGCGGCACCTGTCGCATCTCCGACCGCCCCCACAGCAACGCCACCCCCAAGGCTCCAAGCACCAACCCGATACACAGCCAGCCCCAGCAGTGGGAGCATGGTCCCCAACCTGGCGCATAATAGCGGGGCGCGACCGCCACGCAAGTAAGCACTGCGTGCGTCGCTGCCTCGCGGCACCCATCCGGGAACTGCATCGCGGCTGGAACCGCTTGGCGGGCTTGGTGCAGGGCCCATTGCGCGGCGGTCGTCAACACAGCCGGCCACCAGACCATGACACGCCGAAAGAAAAAAACGAAACGGGAGGCGGGAAACGTTTGAGCTTGAGCAACGCAACTTGAGCCAAAACTCCCTTGAGCCAAAATGGCTACGGTTGACTTTCAGACCTGAACACGCCGCGGCCGCGTTGGCTGTCACAGCGGCCTACTGCACACCTGCATTGGACTTGATCCAGCTAGTTTATTGGGGGTTTGAGGGTTGAGGGCTTGGGCTTACAGTACTGACTTCGGGCTAAAGTGGTTGCAGCAAAATGCAGTGAACCCACGCCAAGTTTAAGTTCAGCCCGCGAAGCCTTCGAAATTTTCTGGCGCCATGCGTGTCGCAGTCAGCGGCAAGGCAGCTTGGGGTGGAGGAGCTGCAGACAAAATCCAGTTTTTAGGGCTCCGTAAGTAAACCTTTATTGGAGGCACCTGTCGTCCGCCGGGGGTTTGCGGATTTTGGGTTCGAGCTCCTCGCGTGGAGAATGCAAGGTGGAGAGTTGAGTCATACACGCCCAGGCATTCGAGAGTTGCAAACGGGTATCAAGCGGGATGTAGAAATCACTTGTGATCACCGCTAGCACCCAATCATATGCAGTTGCTGTGCCTACATGTTTGCGAGACAGGCTGCGTGAGCTATTTCACAGTGAATAGGTGGCCCCCTCTGGGAGCTTTGTTTGGGTGGGCGACGGGCTCAACCGGGGCATGTGCTTAGGTGACTAATGATTGGCTAATTCTTTGCGAATACCTCGGCACGGGAAGGTGCACGATGCGAGCCTCGTTACCTGCATGCAAGATCTCGTAAGCCATGCTTCTTGCATAGCCTTACCTACATGCAAGAACTCCGACGCAGTGCCTGTAGCGTAGAATTTTCTGAGCTCAGAGGAGTGACCAAGATACCCTCAGTGCTGTTCCTGGTGCTGTGGATGTGCCACGGGGCGAAGTTTGAAGATGAGGAGAGGCTTCTGCAAGCAAACCCCAATTGTTTGCATCGTGTTTCGACTGTTTGTTGGAGATGGTTTGCCCAAGAACTCACACTTTAGCAATTTCTTGGCTGAAGTTTGAGGCTGGGCATTTGTGTTGCGCGGGTGGCTGTCGCGCTTTTGTGCGTACTTCCTTCCAAACAATAGGAAAATCAATGTAATAAGTAATTAGTAATATCACTCTGTAGTAACATCACGATATCACGTTGTTTGAAGCCCAGACCTTGTCAACCCTATTGGAGAGCGTAAACAGGAGAAGGTCCGACAGGCCTTGGCGGCCCTGGAAGAAGAGGATTCGACGCCAGGGTGGCTTGGCAGTTTGCGTGTATGCGGTTCCCCCAGGTTTCGAGATTTATGGCGTTAGCCGGCTATGTCCGGCAAGTTGCATGCGTGGGCCTGCATGCGAGGCTTCGATGCAAGAGGCACATCACACACAGAAGTGCAAAAGGGGGGCTGATGGTTCTTGAGAGGGTGTCGGGATGATTTCAAGCAGTGGGGTGACTTCCAGTCACCAACATCATCGCCCAACCACCCTTTGCGTGATGCGGTCACTGCAGGGGCTATTATGGTTTCCTGGCCGCTTCTGAACACTTAGTTTGGCGCGCTCAACTGGGGCACGTTGTTTCTTTGGCAGGACTGTTCGACTTGGAAGCTTAACTGCGTGGGACATAGAGACTGGGGTTTTGCTAATCATCGCTATCTGCGCTCGAAGTCAAGCGAAGGGCTTCTTGTAGCTAGCAAGCGAACCCCACTAAGTGGTCATGAGTGCGCGAGAATGAGTGAAAATTTGCACTGCCAGAAGAAGTTCTAGTTGGGCAAACCACACACGCCCAAACGCGGTCCTTCCCCGCTACCTCCGTGGCCGGAGGCACGCGAGAAGACATTTCCAGCGCCTTCGTCAACTGCAAAAGGAGCTGGAAAAGCTGGATGCAGACTACAACGAACCCTGGTCTAGAAAGCTTCGGCTGGGTTTGTGTACCGAGAGAATCCGAGACAGGAACCGCGCAGTCACGCGTTCCCTTGTCTGTCGACAGTACCTGCCCGAAGCCTTGAGTTGCCTCAAGTTTGAACTCCATCAGCCCAGCTGGCTGCCTCCCACCCCCATGCTTCGCGAAGCTTGGGTGTGACGTGTGGGCGGAAGAATGGGCAAGATGGCTGGTTGCGACGTAAACATCCAGCTGCGACCCGCAACAACCCCGATCCTGTCTCGCTGGCCCCCTCCGATCCACCCCGCAAGGCACCCTGATGTTCCCCCCCTTAGAGTAGCAGTCCTTGGTACTCAGTACTGCAATCCTTACTAAGGACTGTGAGTATAAGGGGGTCCCAGACTCAAACCTTCAACCCAGGACTCCGACATCGAGCAGAACTCCACTGCTTCGGCCCGGGTCAACAGCACGGATGTGCGGCGGCACTGGCTCTTTGGGCCGCCAGGCGGAGGGGTTTAGGGTTTAGGGCGAATAGGGTTTAAGGTTTAGGGTTTAGGGTTTAGGGTTTAGGGTTTAGGGTTTAGGGTTTAGGGTTTAGGGTTTAGGGTTTGGGGTTTGGGGTTTAGGGTAGCAGGGCCTTCATAACTAGGACAGGGTTTTGGGGGTGGGGGGGGGGTTTCCAGTATAATTCTACAGGCGCCATAAGGGAATACTATGAGTAAGTATTCCGACCCCTATATTGCATCCTACGCAATTCTGCGGCAAGAAGGGTTTGACGTGGTTGGTGTTAAGAGGGCTGCAGGTTTGCCCACGACCTGCGCAGATTGTTCCCGGGGTCTGAGACACTTTAAATTTCCCAAATGCGGAGGAGAGGGGTCTCTACAATGGACACAGGATGAGCTGCCTACTGAACCTACTGCAGCTCAGCCCCCCGATAGTCAGCGTTTGCCTTCCCGGTATGTTCATATCCCACCTGCCCGGCCTCGACAGCGCAGATGGTGACAGTGCGGATGGCGACAATGCATCCTGTGCTGACGAGAACACTTCGAGTGTCTCGGGTGTGTAGAGGGAGTCTGAGCCGAGGCCCGCGGTTTGTGTGGTGTTGCATTGGATAGTGCCGGCAGCTAGGTTCTCACAAGTGGAGGAACTGGTGGTTTGTAAAGACATGCCCTGTAATCGGCAAACTCAGGTAAACCCTAAGAGCTTAAGGACTTCAAGGGGGGCCGATCTGGGGATCGAAGAAGTAGAGGTGTGCAATGCGGACCTCCCTTGCCCGCAAAGGTTTTGGAGTCAGGATTCGGGATTCACTAAACCTCAAAACCTCAAGCCGAAAAAGCACCCGAGGGCCCAGCCAGCAAGTCAAGGCGTCAACCTGAGCAACACGACCTTCATGCGGTCACTTGTCCGGCGCTTCTTCGTCGCAGAGGACACGCCAAGCCGTGAGGACACCCGACTTGCATTCGGATGTAAAATTTGGCTTCTCCTCCAGGGAAGGGTTGGAGCTTCAAGGAGGGCCAGGAGTGCCCCCTCCCCCCTAGTATATCACCCCCCTCTGTCCCCTACTATGAACATACCCCCCCCTTTTACGCAGCTTCACTATAATGGGAGTATTCAATATCCGGGGAGGGATCAAGAGTCATCCAGGCTCGGGCCACGGAAAGCCCCAAGCCGATCAGATCCCCAGTTCCCCACCAAGTGCCCAGACTGAGGCGATCGCCTTGGAGTGTCTTGGCAGCTTGCTGGGTCACCCTCACCCCTGCACCCCCCCCCCCCCCCCCCCCCCCAAAACAAATTCCGGGAAACGCAAAAAAATGTCTTGGCTGCCTTGTGTGAACGCGGACGTCGGAACCCCAACCCAGCTATGTGGATGGCAAAGACTCAGACACAAAACCTGTAGGTAGGCTTCAGTCCACCGGAAGGCACTTTGGATATCGTTGGTTTTCAGTCGCCCCCTTAAAGGCCTAGAAGTAGTAGGGAAGATTTGAGGGTACGTACCCTTTTTTGGCCCGATCATGACATCCAAGCAGGGCCTTTTTGTGGGAGCTACCTGAGGGAACAGTGGAAGCCCTGCTAAAAACTCGACACATTTAGGGTTTAGGGACCTTCCTCCCCCCCCCAGCTGCTGAAGGAAGGTCATCAAGAAGCGGCATCGGTACATTACCGAGAAGATGGAGACAGACCTGGCCGTGGTGTCTTGCTTTGGGATTTGTCGGGTTCCCTTCGGTTCGGTATCGGTGCCAACTGGTCAGTTCAGTCCAAGGCTCCTTTAAGAGGGCGGAAGCCCTAAAGGATTCCTTCAGTTAGGGCTTAGGGTTTTGGGTTAAGGGGGACCCGAAGCAGCCCTGAAAGCCATGTAAAGGATTCGAAGCTGAAGGCGCTCCCTCAAACGCTAAGACCGCCCACTGCAGTCAAGCCTCAGTCGTCTTTGCAGTGACGATTTAGGGTTGAAGGGTTCTTAGGGTTTAGGGTTTAGGGTTTAGGGTTTAGGGTTTAGTACTACTGAGAGTCTTTCTTTGCGGCCAACGTGCTGCGGCGCTACAGTGGGCAATGGGCTAAGACGATCACTGGGGGACTCGCCGCGTGGTGAGGGACCTCCCGTGCTTGAAAAGGCGTTCAGGGACCACAGGTCCAAAGCCGACGCAACCCCGAGACCCGCACATCAATCTTCATGAGGCCACTTACAACCCTACTCGTAATACAAGTTCCCATGAACCTTCAAGTATAACCCCCCCTAAACCCTAAACCCTAAACCCTAAGCCCTAAACCCTAAACCCTAAACCCTAAATCCTAAACCCTAAACCCTAAACCCTAAACCCTAAACCCTAAACCCTAAACCCTAAACCCCAAACCCCAAACCCCAAACCCTAAGCCCTAAACCCTAAGCATCGCGCAATGAGACCCGAAGCCCGAAACATCCGAATCACCAAGCCCAGGTGCGGCAGTTCACGGTTCCGTCGGTGCTGCCTGCTTGGCCCACCTCCGAGAAGCAGGCTTGTCGGGAAAGTGCGAGGGGTTTAGGGATGGTTTAGGGTTAGGGGTTTAGGGTTCGAGGACTAGGGTTCAGAGTGCTGAGTGCGCTTCTACAGCTGCATGGGCATGTCTGGGACCGACACATGGCCTGTGCCTGGACTGGGCTCTGAGTGGCTGGTGTCTGAGCTGGGATCCTGTTCTCGCACGCTGCGTGTGTGCGTCACCTGAGAGAGACGTTGCATTGGAGAGTTCGAGAAGTGCTGCTCAACTGGTCCCTTAGGATACCGAGAGCATGATGAATTCAGGGGTTTCAAGAATTAGGAAACACAACTTGAGATGTGAGATTCGAACAGCCTAAAGTCGCCTTTTGAGACTTTCGCTTGGTGTTGGTGCACTGCCCAGTGTTGGAGTGATTTAGCTCAGAGTGAGTGTTCATTGGTTCCTGAGCTCGCTTTAAACTCCTTTGGGGGTGTGCATCGAATGGATGAACTGACACTGAGGCATTGAGGCTGAGACCTTTGACGCTAACGTTTGAACTCAGGGGGCTTGTAGTGTAGTAGTGGTCGTCTTAGTTTTCGTGGCTAGTTTCGAGTTGTTGAACATCCAGGAAAAGTAGCTGGAAGCCTCGACCTTCTTTGAGTTTTTTGTTACCTTTTAAGCCACGTCTCTCTTTTCGCTTCGCGCTCTTTTTTCCAGTGGATATGGACAGACTGTTCCTGCAATGTGGCCTGAGTGTCAGCGGTCCTAAACCCTAAACCTTAAACCCTAAACCCTAAACCCTAAACCCTAAACCCTAAACCCTAAACCCTAAACCCTAAACCCTAAACCCTAAACCCTAAACCCTAAACCCTAAACCCTAAACCCTAAACCCTGCCTCCTTTGATTCCTTCATCAATATTTCCCCCTTTCGAAAATCTCACGATGATGTGCGAGATGGACATTTGCACCCCTGCGGTGTGTTACGAGGCTGCTAGGCAGGTGGCAACAACTCAAAACCCAAAAACTCTAAAAACCTAAAGCCCAAAAACCCTAAACCCCAAACCCCAAATCCCTAAACCCCCCTGAAGGTGGCCTTCCTTTTCTTGACCGTGGACGGCTTAGACTTCGAGGCTCGCGGGATGCCCCTTCAGTGGCCTACAGAATTTGCGAAGAAGCGACTCAGAGTTCGCAGGGCTGAGGGTTTAGAGCGTTTGTAGGGTTTGATAGGGTTTGATAGGGTTCGATAGGGGTTGATAGGGTTTGTGAGAGGGCTCAGGGTGTATGGAGTTTAGGGTTTGGAGTTTCGGGTTAAATTTAAGGCTGATAGACCCATGAACCCTAAGAGGGTTTAGGGGTCCATGGTGTTTGCCAGGACGTTTGGGACAAGTTCTTCGCGGATGTCGGGACGCCCCTCGGGTTTTGCCCATCTGGCTCCTCAAAACCCTGAAGCGTCAAACCCCAAGCCACGCACCAGGACAAAGGGGGGCGCATCCAGTAAAAAACATCCTGAATGCGAAAACCCCTGATTTAGGCGTGTGCGCCATGGCACAAGTGGGTGTAAGGATGACGTCGACCAACACCCAAGTTGCGGAGGGCGCAAGTTTCGGGTTCAGAGAGGGTTACCTGTAGCATGTTTAAGGTACTTTTAAGCCATCCTAGGGTACTTGTAAGCCATCTTTGGAGCAACCCAAGCAAGGTATGGCGCCTATTCCATCTACGTCCACCGTGCGAGCAGCAAGGAAGCAGGGGGTCGCCGTTTTGCGGAGGGCTTCGGTGGCCGCCCGGCTGGTTTGGGGTTGAAGGTTGATAGTGCGCCTCAGTCCTGGCAGTTTCCAAACTCTAAACCCTAAACCCTAAACCCTAAACCCTAAACCCTAAACCCTAAACCCTAAACCCTAAACCCTAAACCCTAAATCCTAAACCCTCGTAGCTTGTTGGTCGGTGTTACGTGGCCTGGCAGGGCAGGGGAGGTTAATGACACAGACCTTCTACGGAAGGGGACTGCTCAGTCCACCATTGTAGGCGCGCCGGCGGTTGCGTGTCTTTCTTCCGGTAACCACGACTTGACCCTGCGGATGCGGGTGCTGGATGTGCGTGCAGTGCGGGTGGCGAAAACCTTAAACCCTCGAAAAAAGGGTTTGAATGCCCACCTCCCCGGGGTCCTGTAGGACCCGTTCTCTCGTGGGACCCGTCGGCTGAGGATGCGGACGCCGCAGCACCTTAAGCCCTCACCCAAACTCAAGACCCAAAGCCCAAAACCCAAAACCCAAAACATCCCAAAAACCCAAAACCCTAAACCCTCAACCCTGAACCCTAAACCCTGAACCCTGAACCCTGAACCCTGAGCCAAAGCTTGGAGCTTTTTTTTGGAACCTCGAATCCGAGGCTGGTCTCGGTCCTGGAGCAAGGCTACCACGTGCCTGGGATCAGGTGTCGGGGTGTAGGCCTTCGGGGTGAGGGGTTTCGGTTGCTAAGGGGTATAAGGAGGGACCCCCTAGAAGGGACCCTTATCTTCCCCTATATACTATATGTACTACTATATATCCCTTACAAAAAAAAACCTTATAGAGTCCCTACAGCCTAAGTAGAACCTGAGTCAGCCCCAAAGAACCCCTAAGGTCCCTTACAAGGGTCCCTCCTTTCGTTCCTTGAAGTTGGGATGTTCCCCCTTTTACTAACAGTCCTGAATAGGTATAATGCCCTCTAGTATAATCTCTATTAAGGACTGTTAGCAATCATCAGGGGGAACATTTGAAGGTTTCGGGCACGCGGGGGTTTGCGAGCAACTTGACAGTGCTGATTCCCCGGCAGACTTCCTGTAGGCCTGCAAGCACGGGTTCGGGGTGGCCTGGCCCTTCTGAAAGCTCTCTCCAGCCGAAGCTCAAGGTAGGAGTTTTCGTCCCAGTTTTTCTTTGGTGCTTTGGATATAGCTATACAACGGTCGTTGTAGAGCTAGAATTATGTAGGGGGGGTTCTACGGGGATGGTACGGGCTCCTGTATTCGTTGCATGTGCCGAACTTCCCACCCACTGCACGTCCGCCAAGGCCCCTGAGCCGCTGGGGAGCCGTGGAGATTCCGCAGGTGCCGTTGGCAATCCCAGGGTTCAGGCTTCAGGGTTCAGGGTTCAGGGTTTAGGGTTTAGGGCTCTCGGGTTTAGCGTTTTAGGGCTTTAGGGCTTTAGGGCTTTAGGGTTTAGCGTCCAAAGCTCAGGGTTCAGGGTTCAGGGTTCAGGTTTTAGGGTTTAGGGTTCAGTGTTTAGGGTTTAGGGTTTGCGGAGGGTTTAGGGTTTTAGGGTTTAGCGTTCATGAGTGCCACTGGGGGTTGAGTCTCTTCGTGCTGCTGCGTTCGGATTCTTGGGCTGTGGTGTGGCTGGATGTCACGGACGGCTGGCAAAGTCTGACATTTGCACAGCATGAGGACCTTTACTCCGTTTTGCACTTCGTCATTTGTCATCTCAGATATGTGGACACCTGGCTGTCTTTCCAAGTTCTCTTCGCGCATACTGCTTTTGAGATCTTTGAGCATACCCTCTATGATGTCACTGTCAAGCTATACAAAGCATTCCAGAGAGTAGTGTCTTATCAAGTTGTGCCTGAAGCTTGGTGCCGCGAAGTGGCGACTCTCGCCCTGCAGTCATAGGCACTGTGGTGTGGGGGCGGGCTGGGCAGAAAGGGCAGCAGTCGAGTCCCTTGTGAAAAAGGGTTTAGCGTTTTGGGGTTTAGGGTTTAGGCTTGAAACGTCATGGAATTAGGGGTTTAGGCCTCGGCCTCAGCACAAGTGGTTTGGGGTTCTTCCGTGCCAAAAGGACTAGGAGGCGGGTTTCAGGTGTTTAGCGACAAAGAAAGGATGAATTGTAGGGCTTAGTGGTTTAGGGTTCGGTATGATTGGTATAGCTGTGATCGTCCTGCTGATTCAGTGCGGGTGAGTGTAACTGTGGTCGGCGGGATCATGTCGTAGTGCCGCGGCGCAAGAGTCCTTGATGCAAAGCTGGTTGAGGGTTCATGGTTGAGGGTTCGTTTGGGGTGTTCCCCCTTCTCATCCCTATGAAGGACTGTTAGTATGAGGGGAAACATCCCAAGGGTTCATGGTTGAGGGTTCGTGGTGGGAGGCCGGCAGCACGGGGAACCTGAAAGACAGCACCTGATGAACACTCTCTGCATGCAAAGATCGTCAAGAGGCTTCCATCCTTAAAGCCGTGTGAGCCCCCTGTTTGGACACCGGATATACAATACCACAGAGGACCCAAGAAGGTGGGGATGCTAAAGAATCGACTTCCTCGTACGATGGTGCTGTCTGCAAGGTGGAGAATCGCTGGTGTGCCCTTTTCGGGGTAGAGGTGGCCCTCCTGCACGCGGCTCTCCAGGCCCCTGCCCCAGCTGGACGTTTCAGCGCACAAATCGGAAGAAATTCTTCGGTAATCTGGTCAAGTGGGTCCCTGCCATACTACGGCCCCTTCTTCTGAAGGGTACAGAAGAAAGGGGATTCTACATATGGAGTGAGCTGGCCATGCGATTGTCCCAATGTCTGGGGCCCCTGAGTCCAACCTCCAGTGACGCTCTGCCGTTGTCCCCCGCAAGGATGCCAGAAACCAGCAGTTCGTGTTCGTGTCGCACAACACGATACCTCTCAAGAGTTCCTTGGCCATATTCCTGGGCAGGCCCTTGGGAGATTTGATGTCTTCCCTCATTGGGTTTAAGAGGCTTACCTTTAGGGAAAAGATCAGGTACTTTAGAAGGCCAACAGGGCCAGCCCGCCATTCAAGGGTTGTCGGACAGCAGCTTGATGAATGAGCAGGTTTCGATTACGTCTACAAGCAGCTTGTTGTGAACTCGCCTGCCACAAGCAAGTTCTGCTTCGCGGACACTGGGCTGCAACCTGACCCAGGGGCTTCGTTTTTTTTTTTTCGGACCTGACTGCCGTGGCCGGTACCGCAGAGTGCAAAGCACATGGCTTTAATAGCCAGCTTGCAAGTGATCTGACGTACCTGGGTTCCGGCTGAATCTTGAGGCCTCTGCTCTTGCCGGCACTAGGCCAACAGTCATCCTCGGAGTGTGCAAGCTCGAAGGAACCGGCCTTCCACAAGATGGCGACCTCTGAAACCATCCGGAATGAGCTGCGCCGGCAGTGTGTGTCTTGGCCGCAGTTCCTTGAAGCTGGTCAGCTCGGCTGGGGGCAACAAGAAAACCTAAATCCTTGGCCTGCAGTTCCTTGCCGCCTACGCGCGTGAGGAAAACCTAACCCATCCGGCAGAGAGAGAGAGAGAGAGAGAGAGAGGGGGGGGGCTATGCGTGCAGAGAGAAAGAGAGAGAGAGAGAGAGAGCAGAATCAAAATACAAAGAGGGTAAGGCCAGTCCCTTGGGCCTGAAGCTTCCCGAAATAATGACAAAGCCAGCGAGCATCCATCTGTCCTGAAATTTGGGACCCTTCCTAGGAAATCGGACCCTTTGTTGCGTGGTCCGGGAATAGGGACCCGGACGGGGCAGACCACGCCAGACCAAGCGGCAAACAGAAGCCCACTGCCCTTGAACTTGCTGTGGCTGTTGAGTAGGAACTTGAACCTCGAAGTTTCTTTATGCGGGATAGAGCTATGGCTGGGGGTGAATAAGGTTATGCTAGGTGAGTTGCCATACTAGGGAGACATGATGGAGATAGATAGACATAGTAACTGCTATGGGTTCCTTAATATGATAAGCGAAACCACCAACCAAAAACCTTGCCGACCCCCATCCAGAATAGGCCCGACGCCCAGGTCTTCCGCGACTTCTACCGGAGCCTCTCCCCCCGCGCTTGGGGCCAAAAATGTATCAGCTGTATAAGGGTTTGGGTCTACAAGCTTTCTTCTTTTCAAGCTGTATTTTGATGTTCGGGGTTGCGCTCGATGGTGCTTGCCTGTTTACGCGGTCTCTCTGCATCGCAAGGCACGATGAAGCATCACCAGTGGGTGGTCTTGAAGCGCGAGCACGCGGAGATCGTCATACAGCGGGCAGAGGAGGCCCTGATTTCGTGGAAGGAGACCTGGCATAAACCCCAAACCCTGAACCCTAAACCCCAAACCCCAAACCCTAAACCCTAAACTCCTAGTCGGGTGGCAAAAAAAAACCCTAAACTCCTGGAAGGAGACCTGGCAGTTCGCTGCCCCGGACCTCCTGAACATGGGCGAGGGGTGTAGCGATGAGTCGGTGCCCGGAACGGCGCTTTTGCTCGACTTGGAGCAGACCGAGAGGAGTACCTTTGTCATAGTTGGGTACCATTTTACATTCTTAAGGGTACTTAAACCCAATAAGGAAAAAAAGATAAACATTTAGGTGTTTAATATTATCCCAACCACGAACTAGGTACGGGGAATACCTGGCTAGACTTAACACGCATGGGAGTGGAGCAGCAGTGCCTGACCTATGTGCTTTGGCGGCATTGCTTCACCGACACGAAGCTGGATCACTCGGAGAACATTGCGAAGGACCTGGACATTGTGTTTAAACATGGCAAGTTCCGCATGCTCACCGACCGTGAGTTCAACTTCTTCAAATCTGCCCTAAAGCGTGAGCTCAATGGATACCCGGCTGTCTTCGACTCACTATCTATCGAGTACCTCTGGAAGCTTGTGCAAGAAGGCTTCATGTTCGCCCGCAAGTTCGTGAAGGGACTTCGGGTCACAGTGGGGAACGGCGACTTCCCCCTCGCGGCAGTCTTGCCAGCCCTGTGGGACCTCGTAGACGACTTCAATGCCTCACAGAGGGTTTGGACACGGCTGGCGACGGAAGGAAAACCGCGACCGGTCTGACAGAGGTGCCTCTGTGTGTTCATATACGGAGCAGGCCCAAAGACGAGCTCAGCTCTCTTTGCTGATATCGATTGATTTTCGTCTCCATTTACTTTGTTTCAATTGGTTTCTATATGTTTCTATGGGCGCGTGCCCTCAAGATGCGTCGTCACGATCCTGGCTGCTCGTTAGTGACAGCTCACCGTCGGCTTGGTGCACAGGCGAAGCCCTCCAACAGAGCCCCTTTAAACGCAGAGTTTAGGGCTTAGGGTTTAGGGTTTAGGGCCTTGGAAATCTCGGAAGGTTGCTAGAACCCAGAGCGTTTTTGCATGCTTTGGTGCCCGTGTACCTCCGTGAGAGTGTGCAGGACCTAATCCTGCCAAAGACAGAATTTGTGGCTATCTAATTAGAGCCGGTTTTTAATGAGAAGACACGCTGCACTTCGTGGCCCCCACCTGTATGGTTTAGGCCTAAATTATTGCGCGGATCCCATGCCACGAGAATCGCAATGTTTGTCTCGGCAACATCTAGAGAGTCCCCTAAACCCTGAGCTTTAAGCCCTGAGCCCTGCACTCTAAACCTTGGAGATTTTGCATTTTAACGGCCCCAGCTCTCCCCCCCATCTAAACCCTGCCTTCCCGAAACCCGGATCCGCTTTCGGTGGGATCTTCAGCTTGTGGGGCTTATGCCCTTCACGCCCTAGGTGTGGATGCAGGCGCAGAGGCTGAAAAAAGCTTTGGGGGAGCTGCCAGAATTCAGGTCCGCAGTTGGAGTCAGTCTTCAAGGTGATCTGCTGGTTCTGCTCTGTTTCGGCCTGGGCTGAGTGCTGACAAGAAGGGTGTCGTGCATGTCACGTGAACAAACGAAGGTAGGCACAGTGCGGGGTCTATCTCCAGCATGAACAAACTCCAGGCCTCGGTCCGCGCAAGTCGGTACTGGCCAGAAGCGGGGTCTTTGGAGATCGTTTTGTGCGATGGCGGTGGCCATGCTGCAGAGTACGGGCGTGCGGGAGGCACATGGTTTTAGGGTTTAGGGTTTAGGGTCTAGGGTCTAGGGTTTAGGGTTTAGGGTTTAGGGTTTAGGCGAGACATGGCAGTGGCGAGCAGCAGCCAGGCGCCGCCCAAGATGGCCTAAATCCAGCACTGTCCAGAATGATCGCCTAGCATGCCCGACCCTACACACAGATATGCTGGGGATAGGGTTGAGGGTTTAGGGGATAGGGTTTAGGGTTTAGGGTTTAGGCGGGGACCTTTGAAAAACGATACCCTTGCGGCGTGTAACATGCACTGATGGGAGCCATGCATAACAGAGTCTGATGCTGCAAGTCTTGTTGCTGGTTGCTGTTCATGGCCGATGTTCCGTGCTTTTCCTTGGCTTTCAGAGCTTGGGGCTTACGCGGGGGTTTACAAACAATGGTAGGTGTCCCATGCAGGATGTGAGACTGGGCCAGGATCCTAGGCCCGGCTACGCTTTAGGCTGCTGGTACAGTTCAGGGCGGTTGGGTTCCGGAGCAATGGTCGTGGCTCGCCCTTCGCTTGTCAAGTGGCTTGTTCGGCATCCAAGAAACCAGGGCCCTGCCACAGCCAGGGGCATGGTGTCAGGAGATCTGCTGGTCGGGAGGCGTGGAAAAGGTGCAGCAGTCACCCAAGCAGCTCACAGGGGTTCAACAGATCGCCGCCTTCCTCGACTTCAGCTGCTGGGAACCGCCGGCTGCTCTCTGGGCCTCTGGGCGGCGTGCCGCGGGCGGCTGCGCCGGCGCAGCGCCGGGCGCAGCGCTGGGCGCAGCGCCGGGCACACGCAGAGGCCCAGCCGAGGAGAAGCTGGGCGCCGCCTCCTGGGATGGTTCCAGCACATCCTTCGCCTGCTTCGGAGAGTCGAGGAGATGACCTTTCGGGAGACCAGGCGGGTGATCCAGCCAAAGCTGCTGAAAAACTGCCGGTGCAGGGTTTTTTTGGAGGCTCGGGTCCTTGGGAGTCTTTGGCTTAGGTTCCTGGTGTGGGTCTGGGTCGTAATCGCAAAAGGCTCGCGGGAGTTCCGCAGTTCTGTTCTGCAGAATAGGCTGGCGAGCTCCGCAACGCGTAAGCTACAGACAAGCTGGAATCGGTTAAGATTTGCTGTTGGTGATGATCTGGCCTACGGCCTGCGCCGTGGAAATGTGTCCTTCCTTCCCTTCTATTCTACATTCGCAGCCAATCTCCGCACCTCACCAGCAGGAAAGAGCGTGCCCTGAACCAATTTGCAGCCATGTAGGGTCAAGGCAGCCCTGCATCGCCATTGCCATGGCGTCCGTGAGCCGATGGCAGGAAGATCTCCATCTCGTTCTGCAGCGGAGCTTGCGCCTCATTCCCGGGTCCCTGGGGGATGGGTCTCTCTGCCTCCGACCTCTTGGCAAGGCAAAGCTCTGGCAGGTGGCTGAATCTTTGCTTTCACGGCTTCGGACTGTGCTGCGCTTGGGCATGGTGGCTTACAACACCGTCGCCAGTGCGACCTCGAAGGCCCAAATGTCAACGCGCAACACCGTAGAGACTCTTAAGGTCCCCCCTACCCCACCCCCCCCTAAACCCTGCCTAAATACCCTGTAGGCCGTGTGGCACCGGGCCCTGCACCACTTGGAGGCTAGCCAGTGCGGCCTCCGACCCGATTGCGTGGCGGGCAACGTGGCCATGAACGCGCTGGGTGGGCGGTGGCAGGCCGCCGCCCGTGCCTTCGATAACCTCCGGAGCTGGAACCTGCTGGACCAGGTGTCTTTCAACACCCTCATCCGTGCCTGCGAGGGTGACGCAAGCTCAGCAAGCTCGTGGAACTGGGCCGTGCAGCTTCTGGAGCAGTGCTGGGCGGTCCGAACGCGTGACGTGGTGTCTTACAGCTCAGTGCTCCATGCCTGCAGGAATCGGAACCGCCGGAACGACTGGCAGAGGAGCTTCCTGTTGCTGAGAGACTTGAAGACCGATGAGGTGCAGCCCGACATTGTGCTTTGGTCAGCTGCGGTGAACTGGATCGCAAGCTCTGGGTCCTGGTCGACGGCCTTGCTGCTGCTCTCAAGGCGCTAGCCAAATTTCATGCTCAGCCGCGACCAAAACCCGAAGGAACTCCCCGAAGCGGTTGACAATTTTTTGTGGTTGGTTCTGACTCGCTGAAGGTTGCCGGTTCATGAGGCCCAGCCCAACATTCAGACATTTGGCGCCGCCTTGGGCGCCTTTCACGTGGGTGGTGGATGGAGTCGGGCTCTCTACCTCATGGAGGACAGAAGCACAAGGGGGTTAAGCTTGCGTCAGGGGAAAGACGGAGGGACCCCAACGAGGCCCTTGTGTGCTGCAGTGCTGCCCAAGCTCTGAGCCTGAAAGGATGTGCAGACTGCAAGCCTCCGCGCAAACATCTTGAGCTACAACGCCGCCATCACAGCATGCATCTGGGAGCAAATCATGCGATGTTGGTTGGTGACATGCTTTGGTGACTTTAGTGGGTGCTTGACGTTGGTTAGATGGGGTCGTGGCAGTGCAGCCCACTACTGGCAACAGTAGCTTCGATTGCCTACCATGTGAACGAAATGTCGCAGGGCATCCCGATACCGAGGTGAGAAGGATGGCGCGTGGCAGGTGTCGTTGGCGCTGTATGCTATTCTGGCTGAGAGCGGCCTTGAGCCAGACTTAATCACTTGCAACGCCGCAGCCCGGCCGATAATCACATACCCAGCTCATCTGGTTTTGAGGGGGGGGGGGCTCATGTCTCCCTGTCTCGCTCGCTTCCTCGGCATGCTTTCACGTACATTTCTGAGGTTCTCAGTGCCTTAGCCCGGGGAAGCTGGCAGCTGGCACTGGCTTTCTTCTGGGAGCTCAAAGAAGAACGACAGACTTTGGACGTGGTGAGCCTTGGGGCTGCCCTCTCGGCCTTCGACCGCGTGTGCCTGTGGGAGCAGGGCCTTGCTTTGCTTGCTGAGCTTCCGGCCATGCGGCTCCGGGCCAACGCCGTGATCTGCAACACGGCTATGAGCGCCTGTGCGAAAGCGGGTCGTTGGCAGGTAGCCGCCTGGCTTATGGACTCGGGTCGGGATGTGATCTCCTTCAATTGTGCCATTGCCGCAAGCGGAAGGGCGGAGGAGTGGCGCCCGGCCTTGAGCCTGTTCTGCAAGCTCCAAACCTGCCGAGAGGCCACTCTCACCAGCTACAACTCGGCCATCGTGTCCTGTGCTGGGAGTGGGGGTGGGAGCTGGCGCTGGGCCCTGACCCTCCTCGGCTCCGTGCCTTCGGCGCTGGGTCCGGACACCGTCTCCTTCGACGCCGCGCTCCGGGCGTGTGAGGCCGCGGGTCGATGGCGAGAGGCTCTTCAGCTGCTCAGCGACTTCCGAGCTGCCGGCCTGCTACCCGAGGCTCCTTTGTCAGAAGTTTGCAAAGGGCACGATAACACAGGCCATGACCCTGCCTTCCTCTCCCCCCAAGAAGATCACCGAAGCACATGCCTAAAAGCTCCATTTTTTGGTTAGGAAGAGCCTAACCTCAAACATCCCTGCGACGTGCTGAGGTGATCACTTACAGCGCAGCGATCGGCGCCTGCCAGGCTGCCCGGCAGCGTCTCGGCCGCAGGAGGGGACACACCTCTTACTCTTACCTGTCATCAGTATGTTGGGGTCTCACCTACAGGGTGGGGGGGGTCATCTCCTGTATCAGGGGAACCCTCACATCCGCAACAGTCTTGCCAGTACTTCTGGAATCCCCAATCAGCACCGGACACGAGGCTCAAGAACTTCGGGGCCCCAAGCGGAATTGGCGTCCTGTTCCCTCTCCGAAGTGAGCCCCGCAGTGTGGCAACAAGAGCCTAGACTGTTTGGCACCAACGGAACACAAACACCCAAAGAGCCCAAGCATCTTCAACGAGGTGGCAGGCGGCCGGCATCCTGCTCGAAGCACTCCGATTGCAGGAGCTCCGGCCGAGCCGCTTGGCCCTAGTAGGGGGGTTGGGGGTGGGGGGGGGGGGGGGATGTTGAGCTTCTCAGTTTCAGAGCGAAGCTACCATAGTCAGGAAACCATCCCAAAATCACCATACATCTACTGGTTATGGTAGCTGAATGTGTTCCTCAACAGAAACCCAGGGTTGCGGATTGTCCCTGAAGTCATGGCATCTTGGCAGATTTGAATATGTGTGCTGTAGATGTACAGGCAAGTCGCGCGTCATGTCGTTGCGCCAAGCATGTATGCGTGGCTATGTAGAAGCATGCATGGTGTGCCGCGCCTTGACAACACATGTGCCATTGCCGTGCGCGCTGCAGGCATCGTGACGGCCGCTACAGCCGTCCTGGCTGCCACATGTGGCCAACAGGGATTGGAGGAGGGGTGGGTACCCACAAAACTATTGAAATGGGCCAGATGCAGGATTCTGCTGCTTGACCGCGTGCACCTGAGTTTCCCCAAAAAGCTGCTCACACACTTCGGGAGTTGAGCCATTGGTTGCCTGCGTGCGAGGTGAGGCGTTGGCTCCATCATCTGGAGCGTCGCGGATTATCCGGTCTGGCAGGTATCCGAAGCCACTAGGGGCCGGAACCTGCGTGTTGGCATAGCTGCCGGGGGAGTCAGCCCTTGAGCCCTAAATTACTACATCCCCCCAAAACCTAATTCTCTTAAATCTACGATGGCTGGAGCTTTCAATATTAGAGATTGGGGTTCCGGGGTACCGGGTACGACACCCTTCGTGCCGAGTCGTGCATGAGAATTGCTGCGCTGGTGCGATCGGTATCGATCAGCAGCGGCGTTGCGAATGACCTTCGGATCAGATTGACAAGGCTGCACACGTCCCATTTCAACCGAGCACGGACACAAGCCCATGGATAAGCAATAAGATATCATACCGCATCCTTTTCGTATCCTCTTCAACAGGTTGTTTTTCCAGTGTTCTTATTGCAGGACAAGGGCTCAAAGACGCTCTGCGCCGAGTCGGTGACCGGTTGGGGCGCCTGTGCACCGCCTGCACTTCTGTTTAGGGCCCTACCGTTACCTGTGCAGTGCAGACGTGCTTGTGTGCGGGTGTCAGGGGCAACGTCTGCAAAACAGTCTGAGACTCCTTTAAGTCGGAGACCCAAAATGTGGAGATCATTCTGTATCCACGTTATGAGAACTTCACTCATTTCACCTCAAGGTGTGATGGCAGGCTTCGAAGTGCATGGGGGCCATTGACTGCAAAGCTTAGCGCGGCCCTCCCCAGACTGTTCTCCCTTAACGCTTGGCCCGAGCAGCTGCAGCGGCTCGCAGGCACATGTTTGGAAGTCTCGATTCCCATGCCCGGCGAGGAGACGGGAGTGCACTGGAGATGAGCGACGTCAATCTGCTCGCTCGAAGCCCGTGGCGCCGGGCGCTGCATCTTTTCGAGGATCTTGGCGTATGCGACATCTCCGCCTGTACGGCAGTCACGCGCCTGCACCCGAACCATCCCGAACTAAACCCCGGCCGCTTGTTTTCCACAAATGGACTTGCATTGCGGTCTCGTCGGTGTCGGGGTGTGTGTGTGTAGGTGTGCATTTTACTAGCTTCCATTTTCTCTTTGCTTAGGATCAACGCACTGCCTGGCCAGCTTTCGATCCTCTGAGGTGATCACTGCGTGTGGGACGGGGGAGCAGTGGCAGCGTGCTCTGGGCCTCCTGTGCATGGTGGATGGCCTAAGCCTGAAGAAGGACCTGATCAGCTACAACGCCGCGCTGCGGGCATGTGCGAAAGGTGCTCAGTGGCAGCACGCCGTGGAGGTCCTGCGGTCCCTGCGAGCCAGCCGGTTGCAAGGTGACAGCGTGACCTACCGGACTGCCATCGGTGCTTGTCGGTGCCACTGGGGTTACGCGTTGGCCCTGCTCCAAGACGCCCAGGGGATGAAGCTCGACATGGGCATGAGCTCTTATGGGGTGGTCATGTCCGCATGTCAAAGTGCAAGTTGCTGGAAGGAAGCCCTCCAGGTTTTTGCAGCCGCAGCTCAGGCGAGCGTTCAGGCCGATGCGCGTAGCTTCACTTCGGCCATCAGCTCCGGTGTCCGAGGGGAGGATTGGCAAGGGGCCGTTGCGAGGTTCTGTGAGATGCTTCGGAAGGGCGTGGAAACCGACAGCATCGTGCAGAACGCTGGGCTGCTTGCCAAAGGCTTTCTCCTCTGGCAGGCTGCCTTGCAACAGCTTGGTGAGCTAGAACAGACCTTCCTTCGAGCCGATGCCGCCTCCTACAACACTGTTCTAAGCGCTTGCGAAGGGCACTGGCAGGAATGCCTTGTGATGGTAGTTGATATGGAGCAGAAGGCGATAAAGAAGACCGTTGTGTCGATGGGTGCGCTGTTGTCGGGCAAAAACGAGCTAAGCGAAAGCTGGGGCAGGCCATTGGAGTTGCTGGTGTCCTGCTACCGGAGGTCTGCAGAGACCAACGTGATCTCCCACACAAACCTCTTGGCAGGGATGGCTGCTAGCTGGTTTCATGCTGCGGCTTACTTCAGTAGCTTATCGACGCGAGGTGTGGCCAAGACCCTTCCCATGGAGACAGCCGCGTTAAATGGGCTTCGTGCAGCAGGTCGTTGGCGGCAAGTTCTACACGTCGCAGCTGCAGCCAGGGAAAGAGACCAGGCCATGAGCCATATGGTGGTCGACTCACATATCTCGGCTTCTCAGTGGTGGCATGGAGTCCAAGCCTGCACCTCACTAGCGAGGCGCAGCCTTGAGCCAAGCCTTCTCACGGTAAACCTGGCTGTATCTGCTGGTGCTGCACTCCGGCAGTGGCACCGCGGCTTGGGGTTTCTGTCCTCGCGGTCGTTGCAGGATGTGCGGACGGTCAATGGAGCCCTGCACTCGGCGAGCGAGAACGGGCAATGGAGTCTGGCCTTGACGCTGCTCCAGAACCTTGCCTTGTCAGCATTGGAGGCCAGCGTTGTCTCGTACAGCACGGCCATGACGGCGTGTGGGGCGAAAGGCAGCTGGCCACATGTGCTACTACTTCTCAATCGGCTGGAAGGTCAGGGCTTGGAAGCCACGACGATCGTCTGCAACTCGGCCATCGTGTCCTGCGCTGGGAGTGGGAGTGGGAGCTGGCGCTTTGCCCTGTCCCTCTTCGGGTACGTGCCTTCGGCGTCCGGGCCGGACACGGTCTCCTTCGACGGGGCGCTCCAGGCGTGCGAGGCCGCGGGTCGATGGCGAGCGGCTCTTCAGCTGCTCAGTGACTTGCAAGCTTGCGGCCTGCAACCCGAGGTACCTTGGTGCTTCAGAAGTGAGAAAGTGTGCCATAACGCAGGCTCTGACCCTGCCTTCCTCCCCCCTTGAAGCACGTGTTTGGGAGCACCCTGTTTTGAAGCAAAAGGCCCTTCTTCGTATCAAAGCGTTCCCTAGGAGCTCGGCCCGCTGAGGCGATCGCCTACAGCGCGGCGATCGGCGCAAGCCAGGACGCCAGGCAGCGCCTCGGCCGCGGGAGGTGTGCGTGGCCTTGAACTTGATCATTATTTGCAAAGTGTTATAACTCATATCTTTCTTCTTCATACATACTGTCAGGAGGTTCCTAGCATAAGTATGTCGGGGTCTTACCATGGGTGGAGGCATCCCCTATTTATTTGGGGAAGAACTCACATTCGCACGGTCTGGCCAGTACTTATGGCAAGCCCGTGTTCACCGAGGTGGCAGGCGGCCGGCATTTTGCTGGAAGCACTCCAATTGCAGGAGCTCCAGCCCAGTCGCCTGGCTATGCAGGGGTGTTGAGCTTCCCAGTTCCAGAATTACCATAGTCAGGTAGGCAGAAGAATTACTATACCTGTACTGCTTACGGTAACTTAGATTTGCGTTCCTTAAGAGCAACCCAGGGTTGCGGCTTGTCCCTGAAGTCATGGCATCTTGGTTGGGGCTGGTGTTGGGGCCTCTACCTACTGGGAAGGCCACTCATGTGTTGGAAGCCCTAACCGTAGTTACATACATGTATTGTATGTAAAATTTGTCCATATGCACACTTCTGTAGCAAACCGCGGTTGAGGTTGCAATTGCTTCCTTGCATAGCACTACGTGTACTGTGAAGGAAAGTCGCGCGGCATGTCGAGCCAAGAATGTGCTGGCGTAATGTGTGGCTAAATGGAAGTATGGTGTGCCGCGCCTTGAGAACACATCTGTCACTGCTGTGCGCGCCGCAGGCCTCGTGACGGCCGCTACAGCCGTCCTGGCCGCCACATGTGGCCAACAGGGGTTGGAGGAGTGGTGGGTACCCACAAAACTTTTGAAAAGGGCCAGATGCAGGATTCTGATGATTGACCGCGTGCACCTGAATTACCCTCAAAAGCTGCTCACACTCTTCGGGAGTTGAGCCATTGGTTGCCTGCGTGCGAGGTGAGGCGTTGGCTCCGTCATCTGGAGCGTCGCGGATTATCCGGTCTGGCAGGTATCCGAAGCCACTAGGGGCCGGAAACTGCGTGTTCGGAAAATTACTACATCCCCCCAAAACCAAACTCTCTTAAATCTACTATAGCTGGAGCTTTTAATGCTAGAGATTGGAGTTCAGTCTTTTGGGTTAGGACACCCTTGGTGCCGTGCATGAGAATTGCCGCGTTGGTGCGATCGGTATCGATCAGCAACGGCCTTCAGATTGACAAGGCTGCACAAGTCCCACTTCAACCGAGCACGGGCAGAAGTACATGATAAATAATGAGATGTCATACCGTGTTGTCTCGGATCCTTTTCAACATGTTGATTTACAAGTGTTCTTATTGCTGGACAGTGGGCTTAAGGACGCTCTGCACCGAGTCGGTGACCGGTTGGGGGCGCCTGTGCACCGCCTGCACTTCTGTTTAGGGCCCTACCGTTACCTGTGCAGTGCAGACGTGCTTGTGTGCGGGTGTCAGGGGCAATGTCTGCAAAACAGTCTGAGACTCCTTCAAGTCGGAGACCAAAAATGTGGAGATCATTCTGTATCCACGTTATGAGAACTTCACTCATTTCACCTCACGGTGTGATGGCAGGCTTCGAAGTGCATGGGGGCCATTGACTGCAAAGCTTAGCGCGGCCCTCCCCAGACTGTTCTCCCTCAACGCTTGGCCCGAGCAGCTGCAGCGGCTCGCAGGCACATGTTTGGAAGTCTCGATTCCCATGCCCGGCGAGGAGACGGGAGTGCACTGGAGATGAGCGACGTCAATCTGCTCGCTCGAAGCCCGTGGCGCCGGGCGCTGCATCTTTTCGAGGATCTTGGCGTATGCGACATCTCCGCCTGTACGGCAGTCACGCGCCTGCACCCGAACCATCCCGAACTAAACCCCGGCCGCTTGTTTTCCACAAATGGACTTGCATTGCGGTCTCGTCGGTGTCGGGGTGTGTGTGTGTGTAGGTGTGCATTTTACTAGCTTCCATTTTCTCTTTGCTTAGGATCAACGCACTGCCTGGCCAGCTTTCGATCCTCTGAGGTGATCACTGCGTGTGGGACGGGGGAGCAGTGGCAGCGTGCTCTGGGCCTCCTGTGCATGGTGGATGGCCTAAGCCTGAAGAAGGACCTGATCAGCTACAACGCCGCGCTGCGGGCATGTGCGAAAGGTGCTCAGTGGCAGCACGCCGTGGAGGTCCTGCGGTCCCTGCGAGCCAGCCGGTTGCAAGGTGACAGCGTGACCTACCGGACTGCCATCGGTGCTTGTCGGTGCCACTGGGGTTACGCGTTGGCCCTGCTCCAAGACGCCCAGGGGATGAAGCTCGACATGGGCATGAGCTCTTATGGGGTGGTCATGTCCGCATGTCAAAGTGCAAGTTGCTGGAAGGAAGCCCTCCAGGTTTTTGCAGCCGCAGCTCAGGCGAGCGTTCAGGCCGATGCGCGTAGCTTCACTTCGGCCATCAGCTCCGGTGTCCGAGGGGAGGATTGGCAAGGGGCCGTTGCGAGGTTCTGTGAGATGCTTCGGAAGGGCGTGGAAACCGACAGCATCGTGCAGAACGCTGGGCTGCTTGCCAAAGGCTTTCTCCTCTGGCAGGCTGCCTTGCAACAGATTGGTGAGCTAGAACAGACCTTCCTTCGAGCCGATGCCGCCTCCTACAACACTGTTCTAAGCGCTTGCGAAGGGCACTGGCAGGAATGCCTTGTGATGGTAGTTGATATGGAGCAGAAGGCGATAAAGAAGACCGTTGTGTCGATGGGTGCGCTGTTGTCGGGCAAAAACGAGCTAAGCGAAAGCTGGGGCAGGCCATTGGAGTTGCTGGTGTCCTGCTACCGGAGGTCTGCAGAGACCAACGTGATCTCCCACACAAACCTCTTGGCAGGGATGGCTGCTAGCTGGTTTCATGCTGCGGCTTACTTCAGTAGCTTATCGACGCGAGGTGTGGCCAAGACCCTTCCCATGGAGACAGCCGCGTTAAATGGGCTGCGTGCGGCAGGTCGTTGGCGGCAAGTTCTACACGTCGCAGCTGCAGCCAGGGAAAGAGACCAGGCCATGAGCCATATGGTGATCGACTCACATATCTCGGCTTCTCAGTGGTGGCATGGAGTCCAAGCCTGCACCTCACTAGCGAGGCGCAGCCTTGAGCCAAGCCTTCTCACGGTAAACCTGGCTGTATCTGCTGGTGCTGCACTCCGGCAGTGGCACCGCGGCTTGGGGTTTCTGTCCTCGCGGTCGTTGCAGGATGTGCGGACGGTCAATGGAGCCCTGCACTCGGCGAGCGAGAACGGGCAATGGAGTCTGGCCTTGACGCTGCTCCAGAACCTTGCCTTGTCAGCATTGGAGGCCAGCGTTGTCTCGTACAGCACGGCCATGACGGCGTGTGGGGCGAAAGGCAGCTGGCCACATGTGCTACTACTTCTCAATCGGCTGGAAGGTCAGGGCTTGGAAGCCACGACGATCGTCTGCAACTCGGCCATCTCTGCCCTGGGCAAAGCCATGCAGTGGCAGCTGGCTTTATGGCTGCTGTTGCACGCGCAAATCGACGCAGATGAGAACAGCTACGATGCCCTCATGCTTGCCTGCAGTCGGGCTGAACAAGTTTTGCATGAGGAGGAAAACCAACACTGCAGGGGACAGTGTGCGAAAGTGCGTGTGTGTGTGTGTGTGTGTGTGTGTGTGTGTGTGTGTGTGTGTGTGTGTGTGTGTGTGTGTGTGTGTGTGTGTGTGTGTGTGTGTGTGTGTGTGTGTGTGTGTGTGTGTGTGTGTGTGTGTGTGTGTGTGTGTGTGTGTGTGTGTGTGTGTGTGTGTGTGTGTGTGTGCGTGTGCGTGTGCGTGTGGGTGTGTGTGTGTGTGTGTGAGTGTGTGTGAAGGTGTGTCAGGTGTAGGGGCAGGTGTAGTAGGGGCAGGTGTAGGGGCAGGTGCAGGTGCAGGTAGAGAGGTGTGTGTGTGTGTGTGTGTGTGTGTGTGTGTGTGTGTGAGTGTGTTTGTGTGTGTGTGTGCGCGTGCGCGCGCGCTGCCACGGACTCTTGGCCGGCTGACATGCCAGCCGGAGGCTCGGCCTGTGTTGTGTCTGGGGTTGCGATACGGTTCTTGGGTTCGGGCTTAGGGTTTAGGGGTGAAGAGGAGGGAGAGGGAGACAGAGAGAGAGAGAGAGAGAGAGACAGAGAGAGAGGAAGAGGGGAGAGAGTGTGTGTGTGTGTTGTGTGTGTGTGCGTGTGAGAAGGACTGTGTGGGTGTGTGGGGTTTCGCCTGGCAAACATGGCTAAATAGAAGGGCTTGCGCGTTCGCAAGGGCTCCATCGGCACGGGCCCCAGACCCTGATACTCTAAACACACACACATATAAGACTCTGAACACTTACATATTTGCAGATTTTCATCAATCTACAGGCAAAAGCACGGCATGCCAACAGCAGTTGAGAAACAGTAACTTGGACTTGATGGGAGTTGCAGGCCTTAACAAAGACCGACATGCGTACGTTGAGAACGCCTATGTATATATATTCTACTAGAATTCCGATTAAGGTACTATGAACCAGAATAAACTACTCATATTGCTTGAATATCTGATTGGCAACATGATGTCTCCTACTTCAGTGGGCCCAGGTGGTGCACACCCTGGTGCACCTTGTAGTTTGAATGGAGCCAAGGACGCCTTGCGGTTGATCCCTGGGTTTAGGCTTTTCAGGCCTGGATGTAAAAGGGTTTGGGGTGTGGTGGGGCAGTTTGGCAGTTTGCCGCATGGTTGGCACTCCTTGTGGTTTGTGCAACTATTTCCGGGCGCCGGTCGGTAGCCGAAACCCGCAACCCTAGACGACCTTAGAAGGACTCTCCGAAACATGCTGCAGCTTGGGAGCACTTTCGCCCTAGGCCACGACACACCTGCGAGGTTCGAGCCTATACTAATCGAACAAGAGTAATGAGCATATACGTGCTTCGCACGCTCAGGGTTTTGGGTCCTCCGAGTCTTGAAGGAAACTCCACCAGGGTCGTCGTCCAACTCGCACCCAAAGCTACGCTCGCTTCATGTGGTCGAGTTAACATGTAGTCGAAGAGTGTATGCCATTATATCTTTTTGTGTACTTTATGCCAAATCTTATGCCTTGTTGCGAAGCCGGGCAACGGAAGCATGCCCCTTGCTTCTGCTCCCAGAACTGGACTCCGGCACCCCTTAAGAAAGCTAAGCTGAGAGTCAGGAGTCTCGGCTGACTCAGGTGTTTGCTTGCTTGCTGTGGGCTGGATGCCGTGAGTGTTGGGAAGCTCCGAGCCTATCTCGATCGTGAAGAGCCAGCGAGAGGGCGAAAATGTGCATTGGCAACTGTTTGCCCGAGCATCACAGTGTCCCATCAAGAGGCTGAAGATGTTCTTGTGATAGAGGAGGACACACAACGATCTCGACAGCTGCACACTTGACGCCTGCGGTCAAGAAAGCTTTTGCTGGCAAAACTCAGCTGAGCTCCTTGCCACCGCGTTTCGAACTCGCCCGGGTCCCCCACTGAGAATCCCGCACAGAATCCTGCTCTTTGGAGTGCTCACCCAGAGAGACCCTCACAGCATCCCTGCGCCAACTCCGTCAGTGGCAGGAGGGGAACCCAACAGGGGCCCCCAAGGGGCCAAGGGAAGCCGAGAAGGCGAACTTAAAGAAAGGCGGGGGGTCGTTCACAAGACGTTCTGGCCCTTGAGCAGGGTATGCGGACCCCAGAAGCTGAAGGGCAGGAATCCGTGGAGGTGCGCAGGGATAGGGGGCTCATAAGAAAACCTCTGACGCCCTTGATCCGCGATCGCTGCTTGTTGCGGCGCCATGCTGCGAATCACATGTTGCCTGGGGCAAAGTCGCGTGACCACTTGCCAATTCCGATGCCCAACTGCTGCATGTTCTGCTCCATCCGGGCACCATCGACGCAGAAGCTGAACCCAAATGGATTTGGCCCAAGTCTCAATTCTCCTCGGTTTTTTTAAAGCCCCCGATCCGCCACGAAGATGTCGGGCCAGGCCAGCCAGGCCTTTGTCATGGCCGGGAATGCTGGAGCAGTACCTGAATCAGGTCTCGCCTACACCTCCCAGCCGTCCCTGTCGCAGATCCCGGTGCGCGCCCGACCGGGCGCTGTCTCGGCGCAGAGCGCGACGGGCGCGGACATCCACGCGACGATGTCGGGCCCGGCAGCTCTGATGGGTGGCTCGTTGCTGGGGCTGTGTGCAAGTTCCACGCGCTCCAAGCGCAGCTCCAAGCGCAGCTCCAAGCGCACAGCCCTGCACGTTGCCACGGCCGACGTCCAGACGCTGAACGCTCCAGACGGGGAGGACGAGATGATGGCAGGTGTTTCCGGTGGCGCCATGGGTGGCTACACGCAGTCAAATGTGGCTGCGCGCCGTGTGGTCCCCTCTGAGGCACAGCGGCAGGGCCGGAAGTACGTGAAAGTGGTTTACGTCGTTCTGGAGTCCCAATACCAGTCGGCGATGACGACTGCCATCCGTCAGATCAACAAGTCGCCGGGCCCAGTTTGCATGGAGTGCGTGGGCTACTTGCTGGAGGAGATCCGGGATACCACCAGTGAGGAGCAGTTGGCCAAGGACCTAGATGACGCCAACATCTTCATCTGCTCCTTGATCTTCGTGCAGGAGCTGGCCGAGAAGCTCGTGAAGATAGTAGAGCCCCGCCGTGAGAACCTGGACGCGTGCCTCTGCTTCCCCTCCATGCCGGAGGTGATGAAGCAGAACCTATATCCCCCTTGGGAATTCTTTTTGCATTTTTGTTTATATAAAACCCAAGAGAAAATATCAAACATATTGTTTTTATTAAGGTTCTAAGGGGGAGTGTAGGAACAAGCTTGGCACCTTCGACCTGACCCAGATTGCCGGAGGGCCCCTGGGCAGTTTCGCGCAGCAGGTCAAGGACCTGCGCCAGAAGTCTCTCTCCAAGAACAAGCCGGCCTCGGGTGGCAATTTCCAGGATAGCCTCCTCAAGCTCGTCCGAACCTTGCCAAAGGTCCTGAAGTTCTTGCCAGGAGATCAGGCCAAAGATGCCAGGACCTTCGTCCTGTCACTGCAACATTGGCTTGGTGGAACGCCAGAGAATCTGGAGGCAATGCTCTTGCGAGTGGCCGGCGGCTACGTTGCCGGCGTGGAGGACATCGACACGGATGCGCTGATGGAGCCTGTGGTCCTGCCAGACATGGGAATTTGGCATCCGCTTGCCCCGCAGATCTTCGACAGCATGAGCGAGTACAAGGAGTGGTACGACAACGTGCATTGCCCTGCTTCGGGCATTCTCCCAAACGCGCCAACCATCGGGCTTGTCTTGCAGAAGTCGCACATCGCGACCAAGGATGATGGCCACTACGTGGGCGTCGTGCAGGAGTTGGAGCGCCGTGGCGCACGTGTCGCGTGCACCTACACCGGCGGGCTGGACTTCTCGGTGCCGGTCCAGGAGTATTTGGCTGGACCTACTGGTGAAGGAATGGTGGATGCCCTTGTGAACCTGACCGGCTTCTCATTGGTTGGTGGCCCGGCATCTCAAGATGCCAAGAAGGCCAAGGAGGTCCTCATGAAGCTCAACCGACCCTATCTGGTTAGTGTTCCGCTGGTCTTCCAGTCCTTCACGGAGTGGCAGAACAGCCAGCTGGGTCTGCACCCGGTGCAGGTGGCCTTGCAGGTCTCTCTGCCCGAGATTGATGGTGCCATTGAGCCCTTGATCTTCTCAGGGCGCGATGGCACCAGTGGCCGCTCCATCCCTATGCAGGACCGCATCGGCGCAGTGGCGACCCGGGCCATGAACTGGGCAAACCTGCGCCAGAAGCCCAACTCGGAGAAGAAGCTGAGCATCTGCGTCTTCCAGTTCCCCCCAGACAAGGGCAACGTTGGCACGGCCGCATACCTTGATGTCTTCGGCAGCATCTACGCAGTAATGGGCGAGTTGAAGAAGCAGGGCTACACCATCGATGACATGCCTGAGAATGCCGAGGGCTTGCAGAAGTCCATCCTGGAGGACCCGGAGGCTGCGATGTCCATGTCGGACTTGAACGTCGCCTACCGCATGAGCGTGGACGAGTACGAGGAGCTCTGCCCTTTCGCCACGGACCTGCGTGAGAACTGGGGCCCTCCGCCCGGGGAGTTGAACACCGATGGCCGGGACATGCTGATCTACGGCAAGCATTTCGGAAACATCTTCCTCGGCGTGCAGCCCACGTTCGGCTACGAGGGTGACCCGATGAGGCTGCTCTTTGCCAAGTCGGCATCTCCTCACCATGGCTTCGCTGCCTTCTACACGTACCTGGAGTTCATCTTCAAGGCCGACGCCCTGCTCCACTTCGGAACCCACGGATCCCTGGAGTTCATGCCGGGGAAGCAGGTGGGTATGTCGGGCAGCTGCTATCCGGATCGCCTCATCTCAGTGCTGCCCAACCTGTACTACTATGCTGCGAACAACCCCTCGGAGGCCACCATCGCCAAGCGCCGCTCTTACGCGTCCACGATCTCCTACCTCACGCCGCCCGCTGAGAATGCCGGCCTCTACAAGGGTTTGAAGGAGCTCAGTGAGCTGGTGAAGTCCTACCAAGGCCTCCGTGAGAACGAGCAGCGAGGTGCCTCGATTGTGAACAGCATCGTGGCAACGGCTCGGCAATGCAACCTGGACAAGGACATTGACGAGCTTCCCTCCGAGGAGGAGGACATGGCGGGCGTGTCCCTTGATGAGCGTGATGCTGTTGTCGGAAAGGTGTACAGGCTACTCATGGAGATTGAGTCCCGAGCATTGCCCATGGGCCTGCATCAAGTGGGCGTGCCGCCCACGGCAGAGGAGAGCGTGGCCACGCTGGTCAACATCGCCCAGCTAGACCGTCCGGAGATGGGCATCAAGAGCCTGCCGCGCCTGCTCGCAGAGTGTCGGGGGAAGGACATCGAGGCCGTCTACAAGGGCAACAACGACGGAGTCCTGGAGGACGTGGCCCTTGTGCAGGAGATCACCTTGGCGAGTCGGGCAGCCGTCGGGGCCCTGGTGCAGCAGTCCACGAACTCGGAGGGCCGCGTGGAGGAAGTAAACCCCTTCATGCAGGACGTCTTCAACTTCTTCTCAGGCGGCTCTGAGTACAAGAAGGCCCTTGAGGAGGTGGGCTTCGACGGTGTCAGCGATGACGACCTGAAGCCCCTCTTCGAGTACTTGCAGGCGTGCCTCGGGGAGGTCGTGCGCAACAACGAGGTGGGGGGTTTTCCCGAAATCCTAGGGGTACCTCATTTGGGGTTCCCTTTCTAAGGAATCCTCTTCTTTTTGGGGGTTCATACTATATAGGGCTCCCCCCTGAGTTTCGTAAACCCCCCCCCCCCTTTAGGTCGGAAGCCTGATCAACGCCCTGGACGGGAAGTTCATCGAGCCGGGCCCCGGTGGGGACCCCATCCGGAACCCAGATGTGCTTCCGACCGGCAAGAACATGCACGCCCTGGATCCCAACTCCATCCCCACCAAGGCCTCCTGGGAGAAGGGGGGGGACCCTTAAAAAGGGGAACCCTTCTGAACCCTCTCCTGGCTCTCTTAAACAGGGGACCTTATTCAGGGGCTCTATATCCCCAAGGGTCCAGGGACACCCGAAACCCTGAACCCTAAACTTACCCTAAACCCTAAACCCAAAGACCCTAAACCCTAACCCTAAACCCTAAACCCCAATCCTGTCCCCACCAAGGCGGCCACGGATGTGGCGATGGTGGTCGTGGATCGCCTCCTCGATTCACTCACGGAGCAGCAGGGTGAGATGCCCGAGTCGATCGCCTTCACTCTTTGGGGTACCGACACTCGGGACATTTTAAAATTTTTCCCTATTGGGTCGAAGAGGATTATTATCTTGAGGACTCTTTTTCAGAGGGTTTTCCAGGGGCCATCCCAGGACAACATCAAGACCTACGGCGAGTCCTTGGCACAGGTGCTGGCGCTGGTTGGAGCACGTCCCGTTCCAGACTCTTTGGGCCGAGTGAACAAGGTCTACCGGTTGCTTAAGAACCCCCCAAATTAAAATTCTTACCTCTAAGGGTAATATAAATACTGTAATTGTTTTGTGTTTCTTAAGCAAATATAAAAGAGGTGGAATTGATTCCGCTGGAAGAGCTGGGACGACCCCGGGTCGACGTCGTGTGCAACTGCTCCGGCGTCTTCCGTGACCTCTTCATCAATCAGATGAACCTGCTCGACCGCGCCATCAAGGCAGCAGCGGAGGCAGATGAGCCTCCCGAGCAGAACTTCGTCCGCAAGCATGCCATGGAGCAGGCAGAGGAGCTCAACATCTCTCTCAGGCAGGCGGCGACACGTGTCTTCTCCAACGCAGCGGGCTCATATTCTGCAAACGTTGGCATTGCCGTGGAGAACGGCGCCAGCGTTGACGAAGAGCAGTTGCAGGAGCAGTTTGTCACTCGAAAAGGCTTTGCGCTCAGCTCAGATGCGCCCGGGGAGCTCATTGAGTCTTCTGGCTTGTTCAAGTCCGCCCTCAGCAAGGTGGACGTCACTTTCCAGAATCTGGACAGCAGCGAGATCTCGCTCACTGATGTCTCCCATTACTTCGACAACGACCCCACCAAGGTGGTCTCCAACCTCCGAAAGGACGGAAAGAAGCCGGCGGCTCTCATTGCGGACACGACTACGGCCAACGCCCAGGTCCGGTCCCTCTCTGCCCAGGTGGGGTCTTTCCAGAAATAGTTGTACCGGCGAATTACCCCTTATCCAATCCTTAGTGGGGTACCTACACCCTAAACCCTAACCCTAAACCCTAAACCCTAAACCCTAAACCCTAAACCCTAAACCCTAAACCCTAAACCCTAAACCCTAAACCGCCTAAACCCTCAACCCTCAACCCTAACCCCTAAACCCTAAACCCTTAAACGGTAACCCCAAACCCAGCCGCCAGGTCCGGTTGGACAGCAGGACCAAGCTCCTGAACCCGAAGTTCTACGAGGCGAACTTGAAGGGAGGCTACGAGGGTGTCCGAGAGATCTCCAAGCGGATGAGATTCTAGGATGCCCAGTAGTGCCCTTATTCCCTTTTTATTGGGTTCTCATCGCATCTAAACCCCTATAAACCAAAAAGGGTGCACTTTTTTTTCTCTTAGGTTACTGGGGAACCCAGGATTTACTTTCGGCTGGAGTACGACCGCAGACGCCGTGGACAACTTCGTCTACGAGGACTGCAACACGACCTACATCCAAGACGAGGAAATCAAGAACAAGATGCTGGAGGCGAACCCAGATGCTCTGAGGGACATGGTGCAGACCTTCCTGGAAGCCAATGCAAAGGGCTACTGGGACACTGACGAGGAGAACATCCAGAAATTGCGGGATGTCTACCAGGAGTGCGAGGACAAGATCGAGGGCGTCGACTTTGCGGCCTGAGAAGGTATCTCTTGGATTGCTCCAAGGTGAAGCACGGGAGCAGTCGCAGCAGCTTGAGTTCAAGAAAGCCTCGCAACTCTGAAAACTGTAGTTCCTTGTAGCAATCCTCTCATATCAGGGCCAGGTTGCTGCGAAGCCTTCTTTGATTTTGTCCTTAGCCAGCTGACTGAAGAAGCATACACAGGCAGCACTGGCGCAGCACAGGCAGCGAATGAGCAACTAAACATGTCGATGAAGAGAAGCACACTACATCGTCATTGTGTCAGTGTATCTTCAGCGCCGAACGAGCTGGCCTGAAATCTTTAAGAAGCGTCTCGCAAGAACAGATGAGGTCGGAGCATAAAGTCCTGCTCCGACGTTTCTCCTGAATCTGAATGTGTTCACCTGCTCCGGCGTTCGGGGCGCAGTGAGCAATCCTGCGGAATCACTGTCCAAGTTGCTCGTGCTCTCTGGCATAAGCCAATGAGTCGACGGGAGGATCCACAGAGTTCTACAAGACAAGCCCCGACCTCGTAATCGGATCTCCCTTTCGGCTGAGGGAACAGCTTGGCAGCAGTTGCACTTTTTTGAGTCGCGGCATGTCGTGGCCGAGCTTCGATCGCTCAGCCACGCCACACCGTTACGGCGGCGGCGAAGTTGTGACAACCTTAATTCCGTGTAGCATCCGATGGCTTTCCTGGCACATGGGACACGTACAACCCACTTAGGGCCGAGAGCCCAGCTTTCAAGGCCGCTGCTCCGCTGGTGCCTTGAGCTGCGCAGCTGCGCGCGCACGCGGAAGAAAGCTTTCGGACAGCTGCCGGGCCTTGCCTTGTGCGAGTCTTGCTGCTGGTTCGTAGGGAGTGGGGGAATAAGGTACCCTACATGATCCCTTAAAGGGTCTATATAGGGGGAGATAGGGTACCTCATTCCCTCATTCCCTACTAACCAACATGAAGGAGTGCGAGGGTCGAAGCCCCTAGCCTGCCCCGTCTAGCCTGCCCCGTGAAGGCTCTGAGCGCTTACTCGCTGCATCTCGCTGCTCAGACTTTGAGAACCACATCCTGTTTGGGAACCGAAAAAAGCACTAAACAGCACCCTAAACCCCAAGCCCTGAACCCTGACTTAAGTATTATTTGAGTGTACCATGACGGTTGCAAAAGTTTCAACCTACTTACTCCGAACAAGGCACCGGGTGGCAAAATGAACCCTCAAACCATATATGCAAACAGCCTAAAGGCAGAACCCTTCCAAGCCGACCTAAACCCTGAACCCTGAACCCTGAACCCTGAACCCTAAACCCTAAACCCTAAACCCTAAACCCTAAACCCTAAACCCTAAACCCTAAACCCTAAACCCTAAACCCTCCGTCCGCCTTCCCTGACATGGCGATGCTGACAGCAGCGGCGCTGGCCGGGAGCGCCGTGTTCGGCGCCTCCGCATGGATAGTTCTCGACTATTTGCTTAAGACCCCCCTCCACAAAAGCAGTTAAGAAAGAATAATCCCTATAGTTCCCCTTATAAGGAAGAGTATTTATATTTTTTTTTTTTGGGGGGGGGGGGCTCTTAAGCAATAGTAGTTCTGGAGTTTATGAACAGCGGACTTCCAGGGCCCTAATAGGGGTTCGGATTTAGGGTTTAGGGTTTAGGGTTCTGCAAGTGCAAGTAAGTGCCATGCAAGAGCGGTCTGTTTACGCGGTGGCCAAAGAGCTACTGCCGATTTGAGTCGGCTATTCCTGTAAGTGCAGTGGTCGCGGACCATTGCCTCTTTTGTGCTGGCTGTGATGCCACGACAGGCCTGACATTGACTGAGCGCCTGTGAGAGAGAGCAAGAGAGAGAGAGAGAGGGAGGGTTTAGGGTTCTGTGTGTGCGGCAGACAGTCGAAGCTCCTAAGCCAGACAGTCGCAAGAGATAACCCTTGAACAAAACCTCCACCCTGAGCCAGAGTGTACAAGAGTACTCGGCCGCCCGACCCCGGAGCCCTAAACAGGGCAGTGCTTGAGCCAGCTAGTCGCCGCATAAAGTCATGATTGCCTCCAGCTACGCGGGCAATGGCATGAAACCTGCACAAATAGACCCGAAGCGCGCCTCAGGCTACAACCGCGAGAACTTCCAGTTTGACAAGAAGCAGACGCTTGAGAGCTCCCTGTCTGAGCTGCTGTGTCGGGGGGTGGGGGAGGTTCGGGGTTTAGGGTTCAGGTTTTGGGGTTAGAGGCGCCCCTAAGCCCCGATCCGTGACCTTACAGACGCTCATCTCCTTCTTTGGCAGAGAAAGGCCATAAGAGTCATGCGGGCAACTGTCGTTTTGTCCTCGTACTGTTGCTGCCTTGCAAGCATAGCAACTGCTCAACTCCTATTTCTTGAACCCGTGCGAGACAGAGAGAGAGAGCGAGAGGGAGAGAGCGGGAGGAAGAGAGAGAGAGAGAGAGAGAGAGAGAGAGAGGAAGAAGAGAGGGAGAGAGACGGAGAGAGCGAGAGAGAGAGTGCAGTGCAGACTCCGAGACCATCCGGGTGGGGTGCGTGCCCCTCAAGCCCCGCAGCAGCAGAAGAAGAAAAGGAAGAAAAGAAAGAGAAGAAGCAGGAGGAGAAGAAAAGGAAGAAGCGAGAGTCCAAGGAGAGGGCCTGCGATGGGGCATGCAGCTCAAGCGCTTTCAACTCTTTCGGGACGACGTCCGGGATTTGGTCAACCTCACGGTGGACCGACCCTCGCCGCAGACTGAAGTGGGTTCTTGCTAAGACACTTAAGTGGCGCTAACCGTTGACGTAGTAAGGAAAGCATACTTTGTAATTTTATCTCGATACAATGGTAACTCAGTTTAAGTTCCCTCACCACCAACCATGCTTCTTAAGCTTCTGAACATTGAGTTGTTGTCGGGGCTCCCGAACTGTGGAGGAATGGACGTCTACCACCTGATCGGGGCGCTGTTCATGAAGTTCTGCATCATCGTCTTCTGCAAAGGGCGGATACAGGCATCTGCTCCGCCCTTCGTGCTGCACCTCTTCCAGCTGTCCAATGCGTGTGCCTTCCTGCAGCACAGCTGCAGCTTCCCTCCCATGTTTACCTGGCAGCTAAGCGGGCGGCAAAAAAACCCTAAACCCTAAACTTTTTTGCGAAGCCTTCTGTGCAGCGCTACCGCTTGCTGCATTCCACAAGTTATCCGGGGCATGGCTTTCAGCACGTAGGGTTGTGTAGACTCGGATGAGGCCCAAAGAATCCGAAAGCCTCCTAAACCCTAAAACCCTAAACTCTAAACCCCAGGTACTTGTTGCTGGCCGTTTGGCTGAGCATGCACGCTTCGATCGCGTCCCACAGCTTTGGGGTGAAGATGTGTCTGAGCTGCTCTGGTTTTGGGGTTTGGGGTGTCCGGATAAACAACCATCAGTCGGGACGATCCAAACCGGGGACCCCAGTGGCAGCCTTCTTTGTTCGTTCTTTTGTTATATTTCCCCACCTTCGGTGTGGGGTTGTTAGATTTTAAACTCAACTCTTCTCCTCGCCCGAAACTCTTCTCCTCGCCCGGTCTACTCCTAGAGACTCCCTGGAGTGCCCAACCCCAGAGATTGGAGTGCCCAACTCAGACACTGCTGGAGTGCCCAACCCCAGAGACTCCTAAAGTGCCCAGCCCCAGAGAGTCCCTGGAGTCCCCAACCCCCATTGCAAGCAAAAACTAAGAAAGCGTGTTTGAATCAATGTGTCTTTGTTTGAACATCTTATTTGCGCTCTTTCCTTGTAACGAGGAGCAAGGTGGGGATGTTCGAAGTAAAGTATGTTTTTTTGGTTGCTTGCTTCGTTTGTTGGCTTTAGAGTTTGGGGTCCAGGTTTTAGGCACCCCAGGAGACCTGAAGCAAAGGGTTGAGGGTGGCCTGTTCTTCAAGAGCTTCGCCTCCCGTGCAAACCCCATGAAAGCAAGAAAGGCTGGACCCCTTCTCTTGGTTGTTGGGGGTATCTACCTGGGGATGTTCCCCCTTATACTAGCAGTCCTTAATAGGGATTGTGCAGTAGTACGCCCCTATTGTAATCCCTACAAAGGGCTGTTCGTACAAGGGGGACCATCCCAATAGCTACCC